GTCCTCTTCTTCTCCCCCCCTCCCTTAAGTAATAAATATCCAATTCTATTGTGTACTATGTGCCTCCCACCCACTCGCCTGCCCAGATGCTTGCTGCTGGGAACCTGCACCTTCCGGGGACTCACCATCGTGGGGACCAGCCCAGCGCCCCATGGCTGGGCCCTGCTTGGGGTTGGCAGGTCTCCCCATCAGGGACCTGCTGCTCAGGACCAGGTACTGGGACCTGTGCGAGCTGCTGGGGACCTGCAGGAAAATCCTAACAGTGGCTTATTTTCTAGGCACATAAGAATAAACTCAGTAACAGAAATGAGAGATACTTTGTCAGTATTTCTACATGTTATTGTATTGTTCTGGTTTTTATGTATTTACCTTTTTATTTTTACATAAGTTTTGTTTTACGGAATTTTCCCAGTACTGGATAAATCTACTTCTTTGATTTAAACACCAAAAATCCTTTTTAAACCCAAATTCATTCCTATTCCCTCAGGAATCTCTTGGGCCGAATTTTTCACTATTTTGGCAATGTTTCCAATGGGCTTGTAATTACAGCTAATTGCCTTTGTTAGAAAATGTGACACAACAAAGTGCATTTAAATGGGAGGTACTTTCTAAAGCTGTCAAGTACTTCCACTAAATGTGTCTTGTTTTACTTACAGCACACTAGCCATTACCGAAACTTGTGACTTAATATGCAGATGGGAGTCTTTACTTCAGCAAGCAACAACGCAGACTGAAGTGGCTCTTATAGAAGAGTTTCAAATTAAGACTGAGCTCACTGCAGGCTGGAGATGGCCGCCTGCCACAGAGTGTTGTCCTAGCATCATTTGAATGTCCCAGCTTCTGTTTGAACACTGACTTTCCTTCCAGTTTGGGACCATTTTGTTCTTTAATGTTTTTGATTTTCTAGAAAAACGATTTACATACTATCCATCAATTCCTAGTCTGAGTAAGATTTCTGTTCAAATCTGGCTAAAAGTCACTGCTGCATTGAAAGAAACTTATGTCCTCCTGAGTAGAATGATTCTTACAACCCCACCCACTGATTCAGTTTTTACCATTGTGTAGAATCTAGCATGCTCACCTAGTTACTTCAAAAGGCAATATGCTTAAGTATGTGAAGATGTCCAGATGTCCCATAATATTACAGCAAAAATGACATTTGCATATACATTTCCCAGAGGATATGGATCAAACATTATAAGTAAGTGAATTGATAATTAATTTCTTCTTAAAACTATTTTGTGCAACCTTTGACAACTTGACACACTGATGATGAGTTTCCTTGTTCAGGCTTACCTTCAAGAATTTTTAAACATAACTGAAGGATGTTTGAGCAATTCTATCCCAAACCCTGGGATAGAATTATAGCAAGGAAATGCTACTCATTTGATGCAGGAGAAACTTGATGCTATGGAGGATTCACTAATACACTTGCCTTGGAAATACTGACTGATACTAAGTAGAATTTGGTTAGGAGCATGACTTCCAATATGACTAGATGATAAATAGTGAACTATCCAGGCTTTTTTGGAGCTGAAAAAGAAATTTGTGCCACATTTGAAGTTTAGGGTTGCTGAAAAAGTTTCTGCTATTGTTTATTCATCAAGATGGACCTCAAATTGGGCTCCTTCCCTATACAGGAGACAACCCTGACTTAAAACCAGCCATTAAGCCCATCCCCATATGAAAGACCATGCCTTTAAGGATAGCTCAAGTGGGCAATGCTAGGTCACAGCCACCATTAAGTCCTAGTTTGCCATTAAGGGCCCTGTGCTGTTATCAGAGAAAGCATAACTCTGCCAGCTGGCCATGGTGACACTGGACAACAACTCGGGGTACTTAAGAAATATTTCTGACAATATGTTTACTGCACAAATTGATCATTCAACTACATGGACAGATTTGCAGCCTCTTGCTTCTGTGTAATGTTCAAACCATAACTTTGGACTTGGACCCAAAAGATTTAAGAATGAAAATATATGTGGAACGCATAAGCCAAAATCAGTAACATTCATTCGAGGCCAGCTTCACGTTGGGCATTAGCCAGAGTCAGATCATGCTATATTAAAAAGCTTTTGCCTTTGTTAATCTCTAGTTGTGCAGAGTGATTTCTTACTGGGAAAGCATATTACTTCTACAACATCTTCACCCCATGAGAATTCAGGCTTCTCTGAGATATTAAGTGCTCACAAAGTGATAAGACACAATGACTCCTCAAGTTTCCTATCTCTGCTACATCTGAACTACCACACTGTGCAAAACTTCTGTGTCAGTAGAGAATTGAGACTGTGATTTTTTTTTTTTACTGTCATAAAAAATGAGATGTACTTTGCATCCACCATCTTTATTGATTGTGATCTCACTGAATGCAAGATATATATGTTTTCTTTTTTTTTATTTTTTTGGTTTTTCGAGACAAGGTTTCTCTGTAGCTTTGATGCCTGTCCCGGAACTAGCTCTTGTAGACCAGGCTGGCCTCGAACTCACAGAGATCCGCCTGCCTCTGCCTCCCGAGTGCTGGGATTAAAGGCGTGCGCCACCACTGCCCGGCTTATATGTGTTTTCTTTAATTTAGACAATTCAGCAGCAACTCTTTGAAACACTTTACAGGCCTGGAGAGAAATTCCCAATGAATCGCTGGTCTATTTAGCTAAGTTATTTTAGCTACTGGAATGCAATATTGCAAGTCTTATTCAATCATTATTTAGTCTCTTATGTCATAAAGATTCAATGGGAGGGACTTTAAATTCAGTGACTAAATCCCCGATTGTGGCTCTGTACTAGTTCACACCTTACTGTACTGGCTTCCTTGATGAAGTGGTGTGAAGTTTGGAGAAAATGTATTCAAAAGACCTGATTTGTGTCACATCTTGACTAGAATTTTAATCTTATTAATAACCTAATAATTTATATTGAAGAGAAATGTTGGTCATTTCACTATTTTATTTCATAGCCTACTAATATTTATGCGGCTATCACTGTACGGGGATAGTCATGTACGGTATTTCTAAAAGGTTATATGTGACTGATCAGAAAATCCCCACATCTTTAAGTATGTTTGTTTGATTCACACAACTGATGTGAATATTAGACTTTATGCAATGGAAGCTAATAGCCTAATTATACTTTTAATCCAGTACTCAATATTAAATTAAACCTCTACAGCATGCTAACCCAGTGACAGCAGGAGTCAACTCAAAGTTGCTCATTAGTGGCTCATTCAGTTACTTAATGGGAGTCAAACAACTTAGATAACTGTACTGCTACAGGGAAGAAGCCTGGGGAACCATCAGAATAAAGACCATCAGGAAAAAAGGAGCAAATAGGGAGTGAATTGAAAATGGATGCAGTGTGGAAGTACAAATACACACGCATCCATGAAAGGAGGCTGCGGTAAGGAGGTGGGGAAACAGAAATGCTTAGCGAAGTCAACAGAATTAGGAAGAGGCTACAGAGGAACAATGGGAAACTTCCTGTGCATCTGAAATCAAATGGAATTGTGTGAATTCAAAAAGGAGAACAGTGGCAAATAGATTCAAGACCACAGCTAGGACTGCACGTGGATCAATGGCGGAGTGCTGGCCTAGCATAAACACAGCCCAAGGGTCAGAATCCAGTAACATAAAGTCTTGAAATGAAATAAAAGGCCACCAGAACAATAGTATTATGGGAGAAAGTTTTTAGCTTAGATGAATCAATCATTCATATTTATTTACTCATTTATTTAAGCTATAACCTCTTCCAAGATCTTTTTACCTATATCTGAACATCCACAGTAATGAAATCAATAACAAGAATAGCTGAAGTAAAGGTAGGGAGGGTGAGGAATTAAAAAAATAAAGACAGTGTGCTATTTTAGGAAACAGTAGGCATGCCACACAATTCTACTCAGGTTTCCAACCTCCAAAGTAAACAGGAAATTGTATCTTTCACAAGATTTCCAGGGGCAACGAGACACAGACTTTGGCTGCTCTGCAAAGGCATATGTGTTGAGACAGCAGGGAAATTTATCTTATGTATTTAATCAGGAGAACAGGTTTCATGATAAAAGAGATAGCAATGGAACCCAATGCTGATTCTATAGTAAATAAGATATCAAATTCTGAGTGATGATGCTGTAATTTCTAAGATTGAGTCCAAATCATAACTTCATAAATATTTCAGAAAAGGCAATTATGCAAATGATCCAGATAGCCACTCCCAGATGATCTGGCTCATTCAAGAGCAACATTTAGTCAGTCTACAGAAATCATAACCTTCCTGTCATTCTCAACGAACACTGTGTTCACAACAAATGAATCACACATGAAGTAGCTTCTCATAATGTAGTCATTACGTACCAGAGGATAATCTGCCAAATAATTTCCTTCTAGGACTTACTGCCAATTAATTACATTTTCAAACCTAAGCCACTACTGGTTAAATACCCTCTGCTTTCTTTATTTCCCGCTGCTTCCTGTTTTCTTCTCTGGAGAGAGTTACTTTGTTTTATGAAATGTGGGAGAATATTATTCTTAGCTATGGTTCCCCAGGTGCTTGTTAAGAACATATTTTGTTTATAGGGTAATTCTGAAAATGCTATAAACCTGGAGAGATTACAGGTGTGCCTCACGCTGTTAACTTACTCAGATAAGTATCTGTGTTCAAAATCCCAATACTCCAAGCTATGAGTTATTCTACTTTCTTTTGTTGTAGGAGAAAAGATGGTATAAAGAAGCTGTCTTGCTTTCTCTCAGTGGTACTGGGAACTGAACTTTGGGCCTCATACGTATGCTAGGCAACTGCTCCATACGCCCTGCCTAAGAATCTGCATTTTGTAAGAAGCCCTAAAGCAATGTGGGACCTACGCATGGACAAAAGAGAAATTGCACCATGAAATCAAGCTCAAAAGCCTTGAACTAGGGAATAGCTGCCTCATGGTTACTACGGGAGTCAGTACGGTGAGTCTGAAGCCCCGTTTTTCTGCAGACAGGAGACAGGTGATGTTATTAAAAGGTTACCTGAGATCCGTGGCTTTCCCAGTCTTGTTCGTGCACATCACGTCCCTGGTCTGGTACCCAATCTGGATGTCCCAGTATCTGTTCTCCTGTCTGTTTTGTCTGTTTCTGTTTCTCTTTTTCTTGATGAGCTCACGGGCCTCTGGGTCCTTCACCACTTTGCCTCTCTCCCTCTCCCGCTCTTTGTTCTTGCCACGACGCCTGGCTTGCCTGGTTTGCCTTGAGTGTGACACTGAGCATGCACTCCAGGGCCCCACCTGCAAACTATACATGCTCTCCTCTGCCTCGCAGGGGTTGGACTGGCACACCTGGAACTCAGTGAGGTTGGGACAACTGGAGCCTCCGAACTGGGGCGGTGCGACCACGTGTCTAGTGCGGTGCTGCAGGCCGCTGCCACAGGTCCTGGAGCACTCGGACCAGGCCGAGAACTCAGACACGATGCAGTCTTGCTGGCAAGGGATGAGGCAGGCCTGTTCCAGGAGGGGCTTGGGCTCAAAGTACTCGCAGATGATGTCCTCTGCGGGGATGTCCTTGTCCTTCTGGATACAGGTTACCTCTCTCACCTGGATGCCTTCCTCTCCCTTCACACATTCTCGAGTTTTCTCCAGGCTTTTGGAAATCACAGGCTGACACTGATTCCAGGGTCCCAGCCTCCAGTCATACAACTCTTTGTGCCAGTCACACACCTTGAAACAGTTCTGCTGGGTACTCGGTCTCCCAGCCTGCTTGCAGTTCGCAGGCAGCGTTGTCCAGCCTTCCACATGAGCACACCACACAGACCGGGATTGGATGCCGCCTGGTCCACAGTCATCTCCCATACACCGTCCCCAGGTACCTACAAATCAGCACAAGAGTTAGTTAGCAGGGCTACAGGAAGAGAGTGACATGCTATTCCCATTTCAGAAAGACGTCTCTAGACTCAGTACATTAACTTTCCCGACATCTTATAAAGTAGGTCTCTGTACGAGACGACTGGAAAGTAATGATCGCCCCTGAGTACTTCTACAAGAGGGAACTGTGTCAAGGTGTCTATATAAGGTAACAGCTGGGGCAATTTCACTCCGGGTCCTTTTGGGATTACTAAAAGTTTGCTTTGATTCATTTCCTTTATTTCAGGTAGATAGAGATCGTTTCTCATAAAGGGCATCAGAAACTAGTGACAGCAAAAACCCATTATTCTTGCCTCAGATCCTGAACTCCGTTTTAGTAACTGGTAAAGAAAATAGCCGCCCTGAAAGCCTTCTCCTGCAGGCGTTCTATGCCTGGGCAATTAACTATTTTGAAGAAATTGGTCTGCCTCACCTGCATTCCGATTGTCACAGGCTGTGACTGCAGAGGTCTAATGGCTGAATACAGTCTTGCTGATAGAATTCAGAGTGGGAACTAAATCAGAGACATCAGACCTTTTTTTCCAAGATATTTGCTGTTTTTTAACTTTAAAAAATCCTCAATGAACTACAGAGATGAGTAAAGAAATTAATTTCTGCTAAGATAAACACAGAAAAACTTCCCAGTTGTGACTCTTTGTTGAGCAATGTCTTTGAGTTCTTTCAGTTCATTCATTTGTTAAATATGACTACCTGGGTATTTTATGGGACACTTAAGTCAATTGTTTCCATATGAAAGGGGGCTTGTCGCCCTGGAACACTTTTTAAGAGACAGAGGTCTTGCATTTCTTATAAATTTCTTCTGTAAATCAGGTTGTACTGTTTTCAAGGTATTTACAAATTCTGATGTGTTAAAATGAGAATACATTTTAGAATGGCAAATAAACACAAAGATCACATAATTACATAATTTTCAAAACATTGTCATGAAGATAAGAACTTATTTGATGACCCCTGAATGTCATCAACAAGTCCTGAGGATGTCAGTTTCATGAGATGGCTACAGAGTTCTCTAAGACACACAGTCTGTCAGTCTGTCAGTGAGTCAGGCAGACAGACAGACACACACACACACACACACACACACACACACACACCAAATACACGGCTGCTTCCCTCTTCCTACAGTCCTGCTTTCATAAGAGAAAGTCTGGCTTCACATTTATTTTTATTCATGTGTGCATTATGCATAAGGTTTGGTCTGCAAGATGTTGAAGAAGAAATAAAGTTTTAAACTAGGCCAAAGGACTTATTTTGTGGCTCAGAAAAACAGGACATGAAAGAGGGCTGATTTGCCCAATTTGCATCTTGAATAAATAATAGAACCAATTGCAGTTTAGGTCCAGTTCTTCTGACACTTGGGCTCTGATAAAGCCAAAATCTAAAGCTTTAGCTTTAGGTGCTTTCCTCTGTACAAAACAACCATCAATCTACACAAGAAGAAGTACAAAGAATGCATTTATAGTATCTAATTTTATTTAACAAGAAAGATGCGTTGGCTTTCATTCAAGTGTCACAATCAAGCTGTAAATAGAAGATTGAGGCTTATCTGAAATATTGTGGTAACTAATAATCTTCTCATTTAAAATAGTACTACATATTTGTTATATCCAAAATATTATTTTATGAGAATAATATATAAAATTGTATTAGACTTATATTTTTAGAAATAGTATTCCTAGGATGTTAATGTTTAGAAATATTTTATAAACTAAAAAGGCAGTGAATTTGTTAAAAGTGTTAACATATAGTACCTAAAAATATTTTAATTCTATTTTTACTTTGTATATTTTTTCACTGATCTTATGATCTTATGATGTCTTCCTGCAGATTTCAAATTATTACATTTGAGACACATAAACTTAAGATCTACCTCAATAAGAACTTTGCAACATGTATAAGATTTTAGAATTAATTCCATATAGCTTTAGTTTTAGTTTCCTCTGCCCATTATGTTTGAACAAAACTGTTACCCTTTTCCCACCACAAACACCTCACAGAAAGATATATCTATATTAGACTCAAGGCTAAACTATATGCTGCTCGATTGGGATGTTAAGGCATAGGTGTTAACTCAGAACCTAAATCCAAAAGCAACATAAGAGAATTTCTTGATGCACTGAAGTAATAAGGGCAGCGGCGGGGCTGCGTCCCCAACACCCCAGCCGCCTGCCCGGCTAGCTTATGCCCCGAAATAATTACACGGACACTGTATTCTTTTCAACACTCCTTGGCCCATTCTCTTCTAGGCTAATTTTTACGTATTAATTTAGCCCATTTTCTAATCATCTGTATGTAGCACCCCAAGGTGCGCTTACCGGGGAGATTCTAGCCTATGTCCATCCTGGGTCGGAGCTTCATGGCGTGTGTCTGCACAGGAGCGGGGCATGGCGTCTCTCCCAGGCGTCTGCTCCAGAGGAGAGCTGCAGACGCTGTGGAGTCTGAGCTCACTTCCTCTTCCTCCCAGCCTTCTGTTCTGTTTACTCCTCCCACCTATCCTCTAACCAATAAAATGGGCCAGGGCAGTTCCTTTATTAGCCAATGACCTTCCTCCATCAATGCACTATAATTTTCCATCCTTAACATTATTTATGAGATTAAACTGAATTATCAATGTTTAGTATTTTATTCCTAGAATAAAGTCAAAAGAAAAATTTTATAGGAAATGTTCATAGTGTTGACTCTACTCTAAAGACTGGTTAGATAATGTTGTGTGCCTTTTCTCGTTAGGGAACATGAGTAAAAATCTATTCACGTTAGACAGGCACCAATAATATACCACAGAAATGGTTTCACTCAACTCTCATTTGATGAACCAGTGAGTTCATTGGGGTTACTAATATTGCTATAGGCGGATGACTCCGAGACATCTGAGTCATTTTAAAGCCTGTCTAGCTTATCCCTAGACTTTCCTGCTCAACTTGCAGCCTTCTCCATAGGAGACAGTTTTCTCTTGCTAGCCATTGTTTACAGGTTACATAAAATTGAGCCGGAGCAATGTTCCTTGAGAAGAATAATATTAGTAAGTTTTCTTCAAAGCCAATGACCTGTGTAGTCTCAGGTTCTTCACCACTTTGGCACTGTCAGTTATTTGTTCCTATGGAATGGCGATGTGGGATTCCTCTCTGTATGCTGTGAATACCATTGGGCGAATAAAGGACTGCTTTGGACCTATAGCAGGGCAGAACTTAGCTAGTCAGGGAAAACTAAACTGAATGCTGGGGGAAAGAAGGGTTGAGTCAGGGAGAAGCCATGGAGCTGCTGCCGGAGACAGATGTGTTGGTAGGTCACAACCTCGTGGTGATGCACAGATTAATGGAGATGGGTTAAATTAAGATGTAAGAGTTATCAAATAAGAAGCTAGAGCTAATGGGCCAAGCAGTAATTTAAATAATATGGTTTTTGTGTGATCATTTTCGACAGCTGGGATGAACAAGCAGCCTACTATAACAGAATGGGCCTTAAATACAATTAGCAAGTAGTTGGTTATTCCAAAAACATTTGAATACTGTTATTCTGCTAAAGGAACATAGTAACAAAATAACTTCTAATGACATACTACTATACCCCTAGATCAGTGCATCACTCAGCCCTCAGAAGAAAAGTTTCTTCTAGCATGGATAACTCACAAATGGACCACTGGAAGAAAGTAAGAGAGTATGAGCATTCGGTCCTAAGTGAGTATCTTCATCAAAGCTCTTTCCTCGGGGTACAGTGGTCTATGTGGAATAGAAAACAGAAAGACTGTAATAGCAAGAAGAGATGAATGACTTCAAGGCAACAGCATCTTCCAGACACAACTGGTATGTATCTGAGCTTGCAGAGCCTGTGGCTTCACACATAAAGCCTGTAGAGGTTCAAGCTACATGATTCGAGCACAGAGAAAGTAAATACAGGCTCCCACACGTAAAAAGCTATCTCCAATTGATACCCAATGCAAAGGAAAAATCAGTTTTCTCCAATGGAGTCTCTCTCACTGGGGGCCTTCAGGTAAGGGGACATCTTTGGGAGTATTTGACCAACACAAAATTATCTAAGTGTCATTTTATACTTTTTTTTCTTTTCTTGCTTTGTTTGGATACTTTTTTTGTCCTTTAAGTTTTAGCTTGTTTATTATGAGTTTTGCTTTTTGTACTTCTGCAGAGTGTTTTTGTGTGTGCTTCTTAGTTTTGCTCTTGTCTTTGTCTGGCTGTTTGTTGTGGGGTAGAATCGAAAATTGGGTAGATAAGTGGGGAGGTTTCAGGAGAATTGGGGAATGGAAAATCATGGTCAAAGTCTATTATATAAATAGTTTCAACAAAAGAAAAGCTTTAAAAACGATGGGCATAGGTCCTGTGAATACTATAACTTTCTAAGCTTTTAGAATATGGTTTATTACTTTTATGAATTGTATTATTCTCCTTCTAACATCCAGGAGTGAATGTTTCAGCCCCTAAGAGGGATCTCTATCACTCAATGTTAATCTAAATCAGTCAGACAACAGTCAATGACAACAGTTCTTGAATAACTGACTTTAAAAACTTTCTATTTGATGCTTTGATGCATAGAAACATATGACATCAGCCATTAATATAAATTTAGCTTACTAGAAAAGTAAGAATATTTTTATTTTGATGTTCTTTTTTTAAACTTAAAAATTTTGATTTTAAATATTTCCCATTTTACATATTCATTGTATGTGGTCCTGTGGTAGGTACATAAGGACATTAGTGTAAGTACATGCTGTATATTTATCTTTTTGGATGTACTGAATATCATACACATATGTGAGCCATCTTTCCCATATGTTTGATTATATTTATATGCATATAAAATTTGTACTGCAACTAATTTAATGGAATAACTTGTCCCATAGTTTCTATCTTTTAATTTCCTGGTTTACGCTTGTGTGAATACCCTCAATACTTTGTTTATAAAGAGAGGAGAGGACTTAGCTGGCAAATAATAA